ACCTCTCGTGTAATCAAATGCCATTTAAAAAAATATAATTAGGACTTGGATTTACTAAAAAAGTGCAGTAACTTTACGTGTAAATAGTGCTGATATTCAGTTTACTTCTAGTGACCTAATATAGTACGTCCAGTAAGATTTTGTATAAATGTAAATTAGTGTAAGTGAATAAAGTAATACCTACTTATGTTATTTTTCCAACAGATTGCAATATGCCTTCTTTTGTTTAGACTTCAATCCATGTTAATTTTGTATATATTCCATGTCTTACTCTAAATTGCACCTTTTGTGATGTGTATTTATATACAGTGTGCAAAAACACTTGTGAAATATAGATTACAGTTGTAATTATGTATGATGGCATTGTTTGAGAATATTTTGCTTGTAAAGACTTTGAAGGTGCAATCAAATGCTTTTAGTTCTTTTACTTTGTTTTGAACAAGCTTTCCCAAATACTAAGCTTGGATTCCTCTCTCCCTGGTGTAGAATGTGTGAATTGTTTTTTGTACTTCTTAGCCATTTGCATCAAACTGCTGGACAAGATTTACAGTCAAGTTCATCCAGTTACATAGAAATAATTGGGAATGGGGCAAGGGTTCATTTTCTAGTTCTGTTTACATCTGAAAGTAGAAAAATTAAATTTATATTTACTAGACTTATTCAAAGAATACACTTTTCTATATTGTACAAATAAAACAGTCAGATAAATCACAAAGAAAAATAAACCTTTATACTATTCTGTAACTACTATTTTTTATTTTTTTTTTGCAGTCCTTTCCTTCAGCACTGACAAACAGAAAAGATTTTTATTGAAATATCAAAATAATTCTATTAACACTAGGCCTTCTTCTGATGCAAGTCCTGCCTTGGGTTTTCAGTATGAGCTAGAATCCCACCAGAGAGAAACCCTGGGTTGCAGGTGTGTTGTCATGCAGAGCAATTCATGGCATGTTCATGAAGGGCCAGAAGGTGTCAGCCAAGCCAGCACCAGGGAGCTGATCCCACCTGATTATTTCTTGATTTCATTTAATAGAATCCCAGACTGGTTTGGGTTGGAAGGGAACTTATAAGATCATCATGTCCAACCTCCTGCCATGGGCAGGAACACCTCCCACTACACCAGGTTGCTCCAAGTCCCATCCAGCCTGGCCTTGACTTGGATGTAAATGTTTGCTACCCCCACCTCTTGCTATGGAGACCTTTTTATGAAGAGAAAATTTCAGCTTGCATTGCTGTGAAGTGCTTCTCCTTATTTTTCCTATTGTGTGTTCATGTGTACTGGCAACCTCTATGGTGTGTGATGGGAAATGAAATCAGTCTGACAGTACCAAATGTTACCTGTACACCTACTTGCTTCTGTCCATGTTCAGCAGCTTTACTCTTTTCCTGCTGCACTGTGGAAAAGCCTGTTAAGAGGGAGCTTTTTAAATGATGCCAGTAATTAAAAATGAAAAGTTTATTTTAAACTTTTTAATGAGAAGGATTGGTGGGGTTTTTTTCACATTCACTGCCTGGACAAGTTAGACTGAGCAGAAAGACATTGTGCAGCACCCTTGAAGACAGCAGGGTGCTACACAGAGCTTGAGGATCCTGGGCAAAACTTGGAGGCAAAGCTTTTTGGGGGGCTCCAGACTGCTTGTCAGCAGTGTGCAGTGCATTTTGTTCTTGGGGTATTTGTCTCTTTCTCTGCCTCTCTTGGGGCACTTTGTGAGCAACTCTTGCAAAGCTGCATTACTTGGTTTTATTCAGGAATACAAGGCAGCTGAGAGCTTGTGGGGTTTTCTTCTGCAGAGTAAAACCTAGTTTTATTTTAACATTCAGGTTTAGGTTTTTTTAGCAGCTTGTGTCCAAGGAATGCTCAGTGAATCTTTGGAGTGTTGTTACTATGTTGAGTGGGTGAGAGTTGTTTCTTGGGCTGAGATTTTCCCCCCTAGCACACCAGCTGCCCTGAGAGGAGGCTGCTGGGTACTTCAGGCTGTAGGAGAGGATTGAGAGAAGGAATAAGGTTCTCAAGGTGACTGAAGAGTAAGTTTGTAGGGACCTCACAAAGAGTGTGGTACCAGCCAGAGTTGAGGGTGTTTCAGAGAGAGGGGCATTGCTGGGAAGAGAAAGCTGTGTTCAGAACACTGTGGTGCAGTGGGGAAGGAAATGCCTTGGTTGCAATTGTGCAATCCTGACAAGTTGCACTGAAACCTGACATGTCCTGCAGTGCCAGTACAGCCAGCAGGATCTGTGGTGGGCAACAACAGGTATGTGTTGTTTGAAAATACTGGCAATTGGTAGGACAGGCTTCAATAATTGTCAAGCTTTCTTACAATATTGGATAGCTTTGTTAATTAGGTAACTGCCACACTTTTTTCTAGCAATGTGCTTTTGCTCAAGTGCCATCCTATTGAGCCCTGTAAAACTTTCTCAATACCTCTTAAAAACCTTTGTCATCAGTATTTCAGTGAATTGCAAATGGATTTGTGAACTGTGGTGGATACAGGCAGTTCAGCCATAGGAATGCAGAGCCTGCTATCAGCCTGTCTGAGCAGTTCTCTGTGTGTCTGCTCACCCATGGGCAACAACTGTTGAAAGCCCATGAAAAATTCCAAGATTGGGAAGCCCTGTGTGCAGCAGACTTGCCATCTTCACAACTTCACTCCAGCAGCCAAGGGGTCTTGCACAAAGAAGAGGCTCAATATGAATCGAGTGAGAAAAGCTCCCTCAGATGTAAACAGGGAGTTGCAGCAGGCTTATGTCCAGATGAAAAAAAATAATCATAGAATGGTTTGGGTTGGAAGGGACCTCCAATATCATCTAGATCCAACCCCCCTGCATGGGCAGGGACACCTGCCTCCAGACCAGGTTGCTCAGAGCCCCATCTAAACACACAGCAAGGAAATGCCTGTTCTCTACGGTTCAGTTCTTACTGGAACTGGAGGTTTAGGCAAAGCAAATGTTTCAACCTCAGGTGAGTGCAACCTATCTACCATGGGGATTTCACTTGCTTTTTGCTAGTGTCCTAAAAATCATGGAGACACGGGAGAGAAGTGTTTCCTGCAGAATCTCTCTTAGCTATAATTGCCTCCATAGCAGTGACAACTTCAATGTGGCTACTTACATGGCTGTTTGGACTGGGAAAAAAAAGCCTAGAGGTTTTAGTTTGCTTGTCCCAGCAGAGATCTCATGAAGGTCTGTGGTGCAGCTGCTTTCAAAGCAGAGCTTGAAGAACTGAGTGCAGTAGCTTTGCTCCCACCATGACTGAGTAAGACCAAGGGGAGAAGCAGCAACTCAAACTGACCAGGAAAAGTTGTGTCAGGTCACTGGTAGGCAGAATGGCACCTGGAGCATTATTCCTGGCCTTGGACACAGAGAATCACCATTTTTCATTCCATCTCCCACCAGCCAGAGTTTTGTTGGAAATAGTTGCTTTCCATCTCCATGGATGCAGCTGCTGTTCTGCATGGAAAGGGGAGGCCATTTAGCAGCAGTTATGCCAAACTTTGCTACTCCAGGTAACTCAGTGCAAACCGAGGCAGCTTCCTTACCTCCAAAATGAACTGACTGAAGAAGCCAGTCCTACATGGTGGCATCACATCTAAGAGTGAAGTAATCAGTGAAAACTACATCTGAAAAGGAGACTGCCTCATGCCTTGGGCTGCAGGACACATGCCAGCTCTGAGAGGATGGGGCCATGTAGCACAGCTGAGTGGGACACCCAACAGGACCTGAAACACTTGCCCTGGTGCAGGATACCTCTCTGCTGGTACCTGGGGCTCCTGTCTGAAAAGGAGCATGTTGGTGCTGCTGGGCACAACAGCCTGGTCACAGCTGGATCTTTGCAGGGGAGCTAGACTTAAACAGCTTGTTTAGCTGTTTGATGAGACATGGAGGAGTGGAGCTTGTGTACAGCTTGAAAGCCATTTTCACATCTTTATTTTCAAGAAAAAGCTTTGCAACCTTTCTTGTCTCCTGCTTCTTGAAAGCAGATCTGCTTGCCAGCACACATGTTCTCCCCCAACCATGTGGAAGAGGCATTGTTTCTTCCTGGCAAGAGCACTAACAGCACTAAGCCACCCAGCACTTCCAGGAGACACTGTGCAGTGTCCCCTACCAGGCTCCTTGAGCAACCATTGCTCACCCTGAACTGCCACATTAAATACGTGGCTGCTCTGCAGAATTGCTAGATGGAACACAGGATCAGATGATCCTGCTTTGCTCAGCCAAACTCTGATCAGCTGGTTTGCAGTGGCCCAGCACATCAGCACTTTCCAACACCATTTTTGTTGGATAAACCAGGGGAAGACACAACATTGTTTCCTCACAGGTGTTGCCTAGAACTGGCCATCATTGAGCCTTGGTAGGGGACAGCCATCCTTGGAACAGCAACCAATGCTCATGATCCCATGTGGGTTTGACTTCACTGACAGCTTAGCCAGTGGTAACAGAAACCAATGTTTTTCCCTTCAGTCTCTTCCATCTGTGCCTTCCACAATGGTGTTTCCAGTTCAGGTGTTTGGCAGGGTTTGTTCTGATGTTTAATTAACGTTGTGTGATTTCCTTCACTAAGATGGTGTAGTGATTGTTGACACACAACTCCTCATCAAATAAATGGTCTGTGAGGGTGGGGAAGAGGGGACTTTCTCCTAGAAGCTCCTGGCAGACCTCCTGTGCCAGATACAAATGCCATAGCTTGGTGTTTTTGTTGCTATCTCCTACTTTGCGATACCAGTTTAGGACCTTTTCCGAAACGCTCGTTAAGTGGTGGACGCTCGCCCAGGGCAGACTCACTCCACCTGACTTTTTTACGTAGAGCACTGACCCACACCTTGGCCTGCTCTCATCTACCTGAAAGAGGGAAGCAAGATAAGCCTGGCATGGCAAGGCAGAGGCCAACTGCTCAGCAATGAGGCCCGCAGCCCAGGCCGTGCCCCGTGCACGCAGTGACAGGTCTGTCAGCGCCTCGCCGAGTGCGGAGCCGTGCCAAGGAAAGCCTGCACAGCAGGGGCACTCTGCTACTCCTGTCCTCCCACTGGGAGATGTTGAGCACAAACACTGCCAAGGGTCAGGTCTATCCTACGAGACAGGGATAGGTCCAAGGAGCTTCTATGGCTGTGTAGTGAGCCCGGCAGCAGGCTGTGGCTGGCCAGAAGTTTGTGATAAGCAGCCTGGAAGGCAGCGCAGGTGGGGCTCCTGCTGCTGCCACAGGATTCCTGGAGGGCCCTGAGGAACAGCTCCAATGGGTCAAGGTTGAAGGAACAGGTGAGGAGGTGGGGGGACAGAGTGCTTTCTGGAGACAGGTGGTTGCTGTAAAGCCACTTGAGGCTTTTGGCATTGAGCAAGAAACTAAAGAAGCCCAGTTTGCGTTTGCTCTTAATGATGGATCTCCCCATAGAGTCTGTTAAGGTGGTGAAACAGCTTTCGGCCTCATTAAAGAGGTGGTTTATTTTGGTGTAATTTCCAGCTAACAAAGGCTCCTTCAGTCCCCTTCTATAGTGACCTCTGCCATGAAACACCTCACACAGCCGGCTCATCAAACGAACAAACTTAACAGTACCCTTGCAGTCCTGGAAGGAGGCCAAGCCCAGCTTCTGCAGGTGTTCCAGCGCATCAGCAACACCCTCACTGAACAACTGAGTAGCACGGTTGATCTTCAGGTGGTAAGTCTCACTCACAGGTCTGCCTGACTGGGAACTGGGTGGCTTTAACACCCTCTGCTCCTGCAGAGCCGCCAGCTCCACCACATGCTGCCACCGCACCGTGTCACTGAGCCACTCTATCTTCTGGAAGCACTGCAGAGCATTCCTTACCAGCTGGAGCGCATGGCAAGTGTCAAAGAAGTACGTGATGCTGTGAGCAGAGCCAGGTGGATGCTGGAAAGTGCAGTGAATCCTTTCGGGGTCTGTGCTGATCCCCAGAGCTCTGGCAGTCTCGGCACCCTGCGCGGTGGCACCTGATGTCACAGCCAGCACCTCGATGCCCACGTGGTTCAGCTTACTGATGGTCTGACGAAGCAGCTGAGCCAGGAAGTGGCCAGTTGTTCTGTTCACCAAGAAGTAGCCCAGTGGAGCTGTCCAGGGGCTTGAGACGCCAACTGCCATGATGATAATGGCTTCTGAGGCCAGGGGAGCTTCATCAGCATCAAAAACACCTGCTCCCAAGTTAACATAGCCTGTTAGGCACTTAGTCTGTGGGTCCCACTGCTGCTGCTTCTCCAGGGACATGTCTTGTATCAGCAGGGCACAGGAGCAGTAGGCCTCTTCCCCTCTCTCCACCTTCTCTTGAAGGCGGCGAAAAATGGCATTGCTGAAGCCTGCAGTAGCCTCATCATTAGACAGCCAACTGGAAAAAAATGGAGGATGGAATTAGGAGATGTGACCCCGAGAGAACTGAAGCACCAGTCAGCATCTTTTAGCACTTAGGGACATGGTCAGCCACGTCTGGAGCTGTAAAGCAGGCTCTGACACACAGTCGAAACCAAGCAGCCCTGCCTTTCTTCATGTGGAGTCTGAGTTTCTCTTTTCATGCTCTCCTGATGGGAAGCCAAGCAAAAGTACTGACCATGGAAGGAAGCAACAAAGCAGCTCCTGCCTTTCCAGTGTATAGGAGGTCAGAACAACAGGGGAAAAAAAAATACAAAAAAAATAAACACAAAAAACCCCAAACAAACACAAAAGTGCAAATGGGGCTATGCAGAGGGCCAATAACACCAGGCTGCTCTGTTTCCCAACTGGCTTTCTCCACACTACATCTTAATCCAGTCTGGAAGATGTGAAAGCCTCAGCAGCCTGTATGGAATGCTGTTTTCCTCAGTACACTCTGTTTACTACTTCCTGGCACCCTTGTGAGCAGATTCTTTGGAAGAAGCTGTGTGAAGCTCCCCACACTCTAGCATGGACATGGTAACTGCTGGGCTTCCTCCAACTGCACCACTGGAGCCTGAGACTCACACCCTGTAGGGGGAGAGTCAGCTTCTTCAGCTTTTGTGTGCTTTTATAACTTCACTGCCTGTTACTGGGTCTGAGAGCACTTCAGGTAGTAAATTTTGAGCCCATGTAACTCCTTGCAATGGGTTACACAAGGGAGTGATGTGATACAGAATTATCTCCCTTCTGTAACTTTGAAACACATACTTGCCAAGATTCACTGACCTTCCAGAGTCCTTGTGGGGCAGGGGGAGAAAAAACAAAGCTCTGGTCTACCTGCTTTATGTTCTCATGTTCTCGACTTCTCCCTTTTCCAGAAAACAGTCCCAAAGTTTTCCATGTACAGTCTTGCTGGTTTTGATCTCCTTTACTGACACTCCTGCCCTTCTCTCCTCACTGGGTTTTGGCTGTGGGTGGAGTACTGGGCATGTGGTCCTCTAACACTGCCTCCTGCTGCTGCTTTTTAAGATGACTGGCTTTTGCCCTTTCTTCCACTAGTTGGCTCATCCCCTTCCTCTCACAAGTCTACACTGCCCATCAAAGGCCCCATGTGGTAAAGCACCTCTGCTTTTTGTTATCCCTCCATGCTTCCCTATGAACAGGAAAACACATGTAGACCCTGCAGCAGCTGAGGCCCTGAAATGCAGCTTTTTTTTCACACTTGTACTCATCTGGGAATACTGAGCAAACTCCATACTCATTCTCAGCTTGTTATTGTGAGGCATGTGTTATTCTCATGCTGTGACCCACATGCATCAACACATACTGGCTCCCTAAGATGAGGAGTATCACTGTTTCTTTACATTTGCTTCCCACTCTACTTCTGTTACTAAAACAGCATAGCAGGGAAAAACTACTCTGCTTTCATACTACTGCTGTTTTCAGGACAGATGTGTTACACCTATTTCTGCACGAGGACCTGGAAGTACATTCAGAATGAATCAATGAATGAACAAGAACTTGCATTGTCAGGCTGTAAGGATGAGGGAGGGGGAAAATCTTCCGTAGATAATCATAGGCCTTAACATGGTAGAGGTGGAGAACACAAGCAAATTGCCTCATTTCTGGTGAGTATTCTGACATCTGCCTCCAGCTATGCAAGTCACAAGGCAAATCTGCTTAAAAAAAACCAAAACACAGACAACAGTTCATCTTCAGTGAAGTAAATAAATAGCTGGTAACTTAAAAGAGGGATGCACAATACAAACATGTTGCAGAGCGAGAGGCAAGAGGGCAGCCTGGGGAAACCACTTAGTCCTGAAGCCTGGTGTGAAGTGTTACAGCTGAGCAGTACTGTCACCATGCCTCCCCTCTTCCCAGGGATGGGCAGTGGCCAGGGAGTGTGTGCCCTGCCATCCTGTCTGAGGCCAAGTACCCAACATGTCCTTCCCTCTTGTCCTATCATCCCACTGCTCTGAACAAAGACTGTCTTACACGTGGGTGCTGCCTCTGCCTCAACACTGACATAACAGGAGGCACGGTTGACTCTACAGTTTGAAGTGGCTTATTCAGGTTACATGACTAATGTTAACAAAGCTTGCTTCTGGGCAGCACAAAAGGCAAGGTTTTGCTAGTTAGATAGATTCTTGAGTCATCCATCAGCTCAGTGGTGGCAGGGCTGGATTTAATAACTTTGGTTACAGGTCTGACCTGACCACTTGGGTAATTACAATTTTTCAGGATTGGAAGTTGCATTCTGGACCTACAAATCACAAAGCCTTTGCATGACAGCATTGGGCCAGGAGTCTATCAATCAAGGATAACCAATACTATAGAATGGTTTGGGTTGGAAGGGACCTTAGAGATCATCAAGATCCAACCCCCCTGCTCATGGGGACACCAGCCCAGGTTGCTCCAAGTCCATCCAATCTGGCCTGGAACACTTCCAGGGATGGGGCAGCCACCTCAAAGATCACCTAGATGGTCTTGAAGGTCCCTTACAACTCAAACCAGTCCACGATTCCATGAGCTAAAGCTCATCCCACTGCCAGGGATGGGGCAGCCCCAGTTTCCCTGGGCAACCTGTTCCAGTGTGTCACCATCCTTATGGTGAAGAATTTCCTCCTCATGTCCAACCTCAGTCTTCCTCTTCCAGTTTTAATCCATCCCCCTCATCCCATC